TGAAATTGTCGGCCTTGGTCAGTAGTGATGGTGGTAGGCATGCCAAATCTTGAAAGCCACTGGGAGATGAATGCTCGAGCTACAGTTTCAGCGGATATATTTTCAATAGGAATGGCTTCAGGCCATCTTGTGTACCGATCAATACAAGTGAGGAGGTAAGTGTAACCATTTGAAGGAGGCAATGGGCCAACCAAGTCTAAGTGCACATGATCAAAGCGTCTTGCTGGAAGGTTAAATTGTTGAATGGGACTGTGAGTGTGACGGGATACTTTACACCGTTGACATCTAATACATGAACGAGTCCATTCTGTGATGTCTTGATTCATCGCTGGCCAGACAAATCTGTCTGCGATCAGCTTTTTGGTGGCACGGATTCCAGGATGTGCCAAATTGTGCAAGGCATTAAACACTTCACGTCTAAAATTGACAGGAATATAGGGACGTATTCTATTGTTCTCTATGTCACAGTAAATTTTAAGCGTTGGATCAATGTGCAGCGGTTGTAACTGAAGGGAGGTTTGTGGATTTGAGATTAGGTTCTTGAGTTCCTCATCATGCAATGCAATTGAGCTTTTGCAATTTCAGAGAAATCTGGGGTAGTGAGGTTGATATTGTTTACCCGAGACAAGGCATCAGCGACACAATTATCAGTACCAGAGACATATCTGATATCTGTACTAAACTGGGCGATGAAATCCAGATGTCGAAGCTGACGAGGAGAACATGAGTCAGAGTTTTTTCTAAAAGCGAAGGTTAATGGTCGATGATCGGTGAAAATGATGAAGTCGTGTCCTTCCAAGTTGTGCCGGAAGTATTTAACAGCACAGTACACAGCAAGTAGCTCTCTGTCATATGTGCTGTATTTCCTTTCTGCAGTAGTGAGTTTTCTGGAAAACAATGCCATTGGGGAAAGTCCTTTAGTGGTATGGGCTTGAAGCACTGCTCCTATGGCCGTGTCAGATGCATCTACCATTATAGAGAGCTGATCACTAGGTGAGTGATAAGAAAGTGTGGCTGCATTTGCCAGATCGTGTTTGCATTGCACGAATGCTGCAGATGCAGATTCAGTCCAAGGGCAGCTCGTTGATCGTTTTTTTTTTTTTTTTTTTTTTTTTTGCTATTCTTCAGAAACTCATGTAGGCAGGCTTGTGTTTTTGCGGCATTTGGCAGAAAGCGTCGGTAGAAATTTAACATTGCTAGAAAACGCTTCAGTTCAGAGATGGTTTTGGGCTGAGGTAGGTCGTTAATTGCTTTGACTCTTTCCGGTAAAGGTTTTAACTCCATTCTGGGTGATAAGACATCCAAGAAAGGAAACTGAAGGGTTGACCAAGTACACATTTGGATGGATTTAGTTTTAATCCATGATCTTTAAGGCGAGTGAAAATCTGACGCAGATGTTGAAAATGTTCTTCCGCATCTGTAGATGCAACCAGGATATCATCAAAATATGGGATGCAGAAATCGAGACCAGACAGTACTTGGTGTATGAAACGCTGAAATGTTTGGCCAGCATTGCGAAGGCCAAATGGCATATATAAGTACTCAAAGAGACCAAATGGTGTAGTCACTGCGGTCTTAGGCACATCTTCAGCATGCACTGGGATCTGATGATATGCTCTGGCAAGATCGAGGGTAGAAAATATGTTTGTTCCATGAAAAAGATGGGTACAGTCTTGGATATGTGGGACTGGATATCTGTCAGGGACTGTGATGGCATTAAGTCGACGATAATCTCCACAAGGCCGCCAGTCACCATTAGACTTTTTAACCATGTGAAGTGGACTGGCCCATGGACTTTTAGATGGGCGAATGGTTCCCTGTGCTAGCATGAATTCAAATTCTTTGCGAGCAGCTTTTAGCATCTCTGGAGAAAGACGACGAGGCTTGGAAAATACAGGTGGGCCATGTGTTTCAATGTGATGATACACTTCTGGCTGATGAGTATGCTGCCCTGATTTGGATGGGTTTAAAATGTCAGGGAATTCTGCTAATAACCGATGAAACCGTGTGCTGCCCGATACAACACTTATGTTGGTAGGTACGTTTGATATGTGAGAAGCTTGGCCCTGTGATGTCAGCTGAGTTGTAGCATCAATTAAGCAATTATTCTTGACATCCACTAGAAGGTGGAAATGTGTCAAGAAGTCGACACCAATAATTGCTTGAGTTACATCCGCAATAATAAAAGGCCAGTTGAAAGTCCGGCGCAAGTTTAAATCAAGTGTCAATAGTTTGGTGGTGCCGTAGGTTGCAATTTGGGTACCATTGGCTGCATACAGTACAAGTTTATTAAGTTGGTGAGCATTTGTTTTAGTTCTCAGGGAGCACTGATATGTCAGCTCCAGTATCTACTAGAAAACATAACTGAGTTGAACGATCAGCCAGTACTATTCTGTCGATGTGGCGGACATTCTGTTGGCCAGCAGAAGACCGCCCATTTAGTTTCCCGCTTGTACAAAAGTGCATGGAGGGGCACACTTGCGAGCTTGAGAGCCAAAATTCATATGATAAAAACATATGCCACTTGTGGGTTCTTTGTACTGCGTTCGAGTATTGTGACGAGATCGACTCCTGCTTCGGGCACGAAATTTATTACGTGGGCCCTGATTTGATCGATTGTATCTCCGTGAAGCATGAAGACTTGTAGAGAGTTCAGATACTTTTTTGGTCAATTCAGCCACTTGTTGTTCGAGGGATGAACTGGAAGGTGCAGCATTAGCAGCACTGACATAAGCTGGAGTAACAAGTTCATTAATTTTGTCAGCCATTGCTGCTAAACGGGTTAGATCTTCATTGGAAGCAGCAAGAATTATTTGTATGTTATTAGGGAGACGCGAAAGCCATAGTGACTTCAACAAGTCGTCACTAAAATGGCTTCCTGCCAGATCACGCATTCGTGACAGCAAGTATGAAGGTCGCTGATCTCCAAGTTCAAGTCCTTGTAGTAAAGTACGTATTTTTGAAGATTCACTTTCTGAATAGATTTCAATGAGCCGCTGTTTCAGTTTGGAGTATTTATCACAATCAGGTGGTTTGAGAATTAAGTCATGCACTGAATTCAGAATATCAGACTCAATTGCTGCAACTACATGTGGTTGAATTTTGTAGAATCCTCACTAATGCGAGCGATAGAAAATTGTGCTTCGATCTGAGCGAACCACAATGAAGGATTATTTTTCCAGAAAGGCGGTGGCTTCACCGCAACGCGTGTGATTTGTGGCTCTGGTGGAATATCGTCGGGCATACTGATACTGATAGATAATTTTCACTTTAATTAATAAACACTTAACAGCACAAATATTGTAGCATGAGGATACACTATTGATATTTTGCCATGATAACAATAAATATTTTAACCATGCAGAAAAAATTTACGTAACGATACACACACAAATAATACAGGGTCAGCAATTACACACACAAATAATATTTTACCGAAATGCATTTGAAAAGAAACCCTTATTTGAGAAAAAAAAATGATGCGTTCATTTTGTATTGCGCACACACAAAATCACCACTTCACACTGCTAAGGCACTTTCGAAGGAAAAAGGAAATCACTCCTGTAGCACGTGGGAAAGAAATTCACTACTTTCGAACACTGAGGGAAGAATTTTGCCGTAGCACGTTGCAGAAAAATTACTGATGTAGCACATTTAGCGAAAATCACTATTGTATTACATTTGTCACAAAAGTTGAATGATCGAAGAATTATTGCACGACTGGCGAAGTCAGCGGAACGGAACAGATCACATTGATGATTTGCTGAAGCTCCTTGCGATGATATGCACGACTTTGAAAAAAAAAAACACAAGCAATATATATCAATACTTCTAGAAATAATTGAAGGGGTACGTTGTAGCATACGTTTAATGTCCATATTCGTTGTTATTTTTAGTCAGTTCTTCAGAATGCCTTGGATGCACGTGGCTTAGGGTCGTTGAAAATCCATTGTCAGTAGCGTGCTCAGTCAAAAGGTCACCACTTTTGGTGGTCGTGTGTGCTTAATGCATGATATAATTAAAGAAAATAAGAGTAGACAATCTCCTATAACAAAAGAATATATTAAGTACTAAATTACAATTTAAATTACATTGCAGAGATCAACACAGAGCTCGGAACACAGTTCGTGCTAGCGTCGCGTACACTTGTCCGACGAGAAGTCTGAGTGAGTAATGACGTCGCTTTGCTGCTCCGATTAAGAACTGGATTTTACACGTGGCGCCATCTCATGAATAGAAGTTGAAGTATCTGTCGGAACGCCACAATAGGAATAAAATGAGGCTAACTTTTGTTTAGTCGGATGACATGATTTTAAAGTGTGGTGGAAGGCAAATCGATGAAGGTTTACGGTAAACCGTAGTTTTGGCAAACCGATGAAAGTTTACGGTAAACTGTACCGATGAAGGTTTACGGTAAACTGTACCGATGAAGGTTTTACGGTAAACCGTAGTACTGGTAGTATCTAAGTTAAACAAACAGGAAATGTTATTTGCTATATGGGAAACGCATAATAAAGTTGAAACTTAATAAACATAGATGAAGTAAATTATATGTCAAGAAAATATATTCTTGCAATGAGGACTTGAAAATTATTTGCCAAGTTTAAATGCGCTAATACTAGAATAATGAAAATGTATTGAGAGTAATAACCACGGTGTCTAGACTAGGGCCCGTAGTCTTAAATCAGCGAGAGGTTAAAATATTCTATTAAACATTCTTAAAATAATAATAATAAAAGCAGAAAATGTGAGGGTTTTAATAAAAATGATTTTGAAGTATGCTGAAAAACTTATTTGAAATTATTTAGGCATTTAAAGAAAGTTTATTATAATAAGCATAATTCATTGTTCTAATAACGTGACTGTAAATTAATTAAATTAAAAATTTCAGTGGAAAATGTTTTATGTATAAAATAACACAAGTGTTAAAAATATATATATATATCATTTCAACTTAACTCATTGTATTTCTCTGTAAGAGAAAGCACTTTTACTTACTCTCAAAAAGCACAAAACAGTGCAATGTGTTTATGTAGAGTGAGATATTTGAAGTATACAATGAATTAAAGATTCTAAAAGTTTAATTATTAATTTTGAAATGGCTTTTGTATGCAGGCTAAATCGGAACCTTTTCTGTAACTTTTATAGAATACAATATACTGGTGTGTAAATTGTTTAGAAATTTTTTTGTTGCTATGTAAACATTTTTCGTAATCTAACTTTTTAGGAAATCTGACAGAAAAAATCGTTAGAATATTTTTCAGCTCCAGAGAGAGGAAATTACGTTTTTAAATGAAGATCCCAATTTTTTTCATGAATTTTCTTAGAATATCCTTTCATTACCAATTTCCTTTACAAATACTGCTGAAAATTTTCGAGATATATGTTGCACACGGAGCTTGATGTAACTTTCATAATAATTTTACGAGCCTTTGTTTATGTTTGTAATTTAATTTTAATTGCATTTAAAATAAATTACAGAAACAAGTAAACTATGTGCATGCTGAGAGGTTCCAGCTACAGTGAGTATAGAAAGTACTCGTATAGTAGGTGTTATAATCTAAAATTGCTTCGTTGATAAACTTTGTTGATAAGCTTAAATTTCACAATAAGAAGTTAAATATTAATGAAATATACTTTAATATTTCCATGTGAAATTTCCATGAAAATAAATGCATGTATAAAAAAGATTATTATAAAACAAACACAATCCATCATCTTGTGGTGTAAAAAGTATTCATACATTATACATAATGTTGAATATTTTCATACATATAAAAATTAATACTGAGCTAGATGTGGACTTCCATTCTTGTTTAAGAGCAGTTATTTAGTCATTTTTGCTACAAACGTGCCTGGATATAACATTTTTATCAAGAGTTTCCCATAAAGTCTCAATGGGATTGAAGTTGGGTGATAGAGGAGAAAATTTCATAAACTTTGAGATGTTACATAATATCCAGAACCATGTATTTAAGGCTGTATTTTTGGGGTCATTATCATGTATAATAACATATTCGCTGTTCAAACCCATTTTTATTGCACTAGACCGTAAATTATTTTGGTACTTTTCCGTTTCACCTGCGCAAATCTCGCCAAGCAGACTTTGTTGGCGACAACATATAATATACACATAAAAAATTTTAACAAATGTTAGTTCTAAGAATTTTTTATTTTGAAGGCTAACTTTTGTTTAATTTTTAATATAGTTTAAAATTTTGTAAAAAGCCAATAAATAAAGACAATAAATTTGTGAAAAGACATTAATTTAAGAATTTACTATACTATCATGGTTCAACATCCTGATTCGCCGATTCGTATCACGTGACCCCAAGTGATCGCATCCCACGTAAACTACTTTACAAAAATATAATTCTCTCAGTAATTATCTACATTAATTTCAAGTTAAATCTTAATTTGGGATACAAGTTTAAATGAAAGAATTATTTCAATTCGTACAAATAGCTTAATCAGATATTATGTAAAACCGCGTGCTTTACTTCGCTAGTGCATTCTCATTAGAATTGATGAATTTAACCCTTAATTTTGCCTTTTCTATATTTTCGCCTTCGTGTGAGGGGTGTGATTACATCCTAATTGACTAAATTACCGCGCATGGTCTTAGGGCATAAAATTTAATTTTCTTTGTGAATATTCTATGTAATTGTATGCCAGTATTGAAAGAAACAATCAATCTGGTAAGAAATGGCTGCGACTTGTTTTGAAAATGAGGCGTTAAAGGTTACCAGCGAAGATATTCCGTTTGGCATCAGTTGTATCATTATTGGTGACTTTATCATTTGCGCCGGCAAAACGGAAAAGTCCCTTATTTTTAAAAAGATCAATCTATAGCAGATGATTCATAATGCCATTAACGATGACTACATTACCTATCCTGAAAGCACTCATGTTTTACTGTTGGCAGCAAATTCCTTGGATGTATTTCTGTATTGCATTTTCTCCATCCCATTTGCTTTCTCTCCAATCCAAAAATATTGAATTTCCAGAACTCTGGGCTTTCATTCGTATATTTTTTGCTCAAGGATAATCCTAACTTCAAGGATAATTCTTCTGACTCAAAAAAATTTCATCTTGCAACATAGCCATGGAAGCCTTGTTTAGTGTATTCATTTTGAAAAGCTTAGGAACACTTGTTTTCAGATCTTTCTTCAATGAACGTGCCAGAAATCGTCTGTTAATGGACGTAAATAGATATGGATGTCCTGAATAAGCACTATTTTGCAATGTTCTAGAGGTAATAAACATTTGAATAATCGATTGCACAGTTGAACATCAGCTGCTGACTAAAACTGAAATTTCATTGTACAATTTACTGCCCTTATGAAAGCTTTTAAGGTTTATTTTCTTTTGGAAACAGTTGCTTCTTTACCTTTATGACCCATATTAAAATTTTAAGTTTCTTATCACATTTAAAGTTACACTTGTTCATTCTGTATATCCTGCTAAATAAATGATGTCAGTTATCAATGAACTGAACTGATTAAGTTAGAAAATGCTAACAAAATTTTGCATTTGTTTGAATGTACGATTATTTTTTACATGCCAATAAATCCGAAATTTTTAGTTTCCCATATATTTGAAAGCTAATTCAGTATTTCTTCTGTATTTTTTTTCATTCATATTTGGTAAACATTTTTTAGTAAAGGCATATTTATGGGTACCTCTTGGCGAAAATTGGCGGTACATAGATACCAAGTTTGTGCAGTTCTTTGACTAGGCATTGCGCACTCCCTTGATTTTATCCATGAACATGTTGACCTATTTTCACTTGAAGAAAGTCAGAGAATTGCACAAACTTGCCCTTGCAAACTCCCTTTGTCCATGTACACATGAATATATTTTCACTTAAAAAGTCAAAGGAGCACCCAGTTCTAAGGAAAAGTATATTTACAGAACATTCAGTTAGAATGTTCATGTTGTTTCATTTATGGTAAAAACAGCAGTCAGGTTACCATAAATGAAACAACAACTTGGCAATAAATGAAAGTGCGATAATACAAGAAGTACCCTTCAGTCTACTCTAACCCATTTTTTTTTTATTAAATATTGTCTTTTGAAGAAATTTCACTAGAATTAGCATGCCAAGACAGTTTCTTACACAAAACCACTTTTGTACAAATAATTTCTAAACTCACTGTAATGGTATAATGTATAATTTGATAAGTGTTTGTGATCATTTTTTAAACTTATTTATGACTTATCGTAGAATATTTTTTCTAACATCCAAGTATTTTACTTTTTATAGCAAGAAGAACCATATTATCTGAAGCTTATTTGTGTGAAGATGCATGGCAGAAAAGATTGGAAGATCCATTGTTAAAAAACATAAATTTAGGTATATCCAATTTCCTTTATTCTGCTTGTATCTTATTTTCCCAAATATTAGAGCACTTTTAACATGTACATTGCACAAAAAAAAGGGGGGAGGGTATCTGAAATGTTTAAGATTTTAAATTACGTTCAAAGGGGTGTTTTTTTAACATTTTGTGTGTTACAATTATTTATTACATATCACGTTCTTTGCACTTAAACCATAAAATCAGTTCAACAGCATTATCGCAAATTAATTTTTAAATGAGTATATCTTTAGATACAGAGTCTCGCGAGCTGGAGATAAAAATGTTTTTTTTTCGTATGGTGTTGTCATTGCTTGCTTTGAAATCGTTTAGTTTTTTAATCAAAAATTTGTTTAAGTGTTACAAAATATGAAATTGATAATAAATCAAATTTCAGATTCAAATTAGGGCTTCCACATGCCCATATTCTATGGAAGATTAAGTTATTCAAATTTTGATGGCTCTAGGTACCATTGTTTTATCACAATGCAAGAAATAGACATACATTTTTGCAGATTTTTCATTATTTAATTTCTTTAGTATAACACAGGGTGATAATGCTTTGTGGGAACAGTTTGAAAAGTGATTCACCGTTTGTAGTGAATCGACACAAAATTGCGAAACATAAACAATAGTCCTTCAGGGACAAAGCTCCTATTTAGTAAAAAATAAAAAAAAAAGGGGGGGGGAACAGTTCTATATCTCTTTTACTGGGCTGATTGACGAAAATTCAAACTGTGTTTTCCATGTATAGAAAGCGTGACTTGGGATATGTATTAGATTTATATACAGCATTGTTCTAATTAAAGTATTTTGACACAAAATTGAACTTTTTCTGATATAACATACCAATTTTTTTTCCTTATTTCAATTCTACAACTCAAATTATGCCTATATATTAAATTTTGTAACTTTTGGTGAGAAATTTAGAGAAATTTTAAAAAATATTTTGGCAAATTTTTTTTTTCAGTTTGTTGCAAGAATAATTTATTTGGCGAACTACTTAATTTATAGCAACCTATTTTCCTTGTGCACAAGCAGGAAAAATGTCATCATTCATGCTTTCAAACAATTTTAACAGTGTATACCACATTTTCGTTATTATCTCTTATAATAAATATGCCAAATTTCAAAATGCGCCAAAATGTAAAATCACGCATATCTTAGGAAATTTTGGATAAAAAACTCTAATTTTTTGCAGGTATGCTTAGAAATACATCTTCTTTAAGATGATGGCAAAAATGTATAGGTTATAATTCAAATTTTTTTCAAAAAATTTATAAAAATTGTTTAAAAATACAAATTAAAAAAATAAATTATAAAAAAGAATGGCGAATTTTGTTTGGAAGGAACCTAAGTTTCGAATACTGGAAGAAGGAATGAAGTAAGTTTACTAAAAAGAGAGACAATAATAAATATATATCAAATTCAATTAACATTGAGGAACTAAAATTTTGACAGGTAATTTTTTAAAAACTACTTGTGCAATTTTGACAAAACTTGCAGTTTGGCATAATTTAGTCGTAGAATCGAAATATGGAAAACAATTTTCATGTCATTTTAGGAAAGGTCTGATTTTGGTGTCAAAATACGTATATTAGAACAATGTATATATAAATCTAATACATATCCTAAGTCACGTTTTGGATACATGGAAAACACAAATTAAATTTTATCAATCGGCCCAGTAAAAGGGGAGATATAGAATTGTCTCCCCCCTTTTTTGTGCAGTGTACATATTTAAAAATTTTATGGCAACAATTACAATTGAATTACAATTTCCTATGCCCTTTAAACCTACTATCCATCAAGGAAATGGTGTTATCCATAATAAAATTAAAGACGATAACTTCGAATTTTTTGATTGGGCAATTTAAATTATAGTTGGACGATTCTTCATCATTGATTTGTTTTACTCTTCAGCATCTTATAGCAGGTAGTTAGTTCATTTTCTATAATTATATCACAACCCAGCTTTTCTAGTTTATTACTGCAATCTGTTGCAAATAACTTTGATGTGTTAAATATTAAATCGAAGTTTCTAGAAATGGCTTTTAAAGAGCTTGCAGCCTCCCTAACCATATGATATGCTAGGATCTAATCCTTTAGTCTGCAAATATTTTGTTACTGGCTCAGTGTACTGAAATTCAAATATATGTGAGCAGACAAAGTCATTCTAAAAGTGATATTTTATACAGGATTGATTTTGCCATTTTTCATATCTGTGCATTTTGTATATCGTTGGAAGATATACTTTTGAGTAAACGTATTAATTCTATGTACACTGTTCAAAAAAAAAAAAAAAAAAAAAAAAAAAAAAAAATAAATAAATAAAATAAAAAAAATGGGACAGTGCTATTTCTCACATTCTACTTGGCCGATTGACAAAATTCAAATTGCGTTCTTCATGTCTCAAAAGCGTGACTTAGGATATATATTAGATTTATATATAGCACTACTCTAACATAGGTATTTTGACACAAAATTGAACTTTTTCTGAAATAACACACCAATTTTTTTACATATTTCGATTCTACAACTCAAATTACGCCTAAATATGAAATTTTGTAAAATTTGGAGCGAAATTTACGAAGAAATTCACAAATTTATGTTGGCACTTTTTTTTCAGTTTGCGCCAAGATTGGCAAACTTCTTAATATATGGCAACCTAGTTTTCTTTCCCGTGAGAGGGAAAAAAGTCACCATCGTTCCTTTTTTCCAAATAATATTCTTTATATTATATTTTTAATTGTAACTTATTATTTTAAGTAATTTTTTCTTTTTCGAATTTCATTTTAATTGTTTAAGTTGCATGTTTTTTTCGAATAACTGTTTTAAAAATTTCTATATACCTATTCGAACTGCGTAAATAAAGGTGCAGCGTTTATTTTTTTTTCAAATAGTTTTCTTTATATATATTTTTGTCATAATTATTATTTTAGGTAATTTTCAAAATTTTTAGACTTTTATTTTGATTGTTTGTGTTGCATTGTCTCTTCAGATAATTGTTTTAAAATTTTCTATTTATTCCTTCGAACTTAGCATTTTAAATATATTTATTAATATAAATTTTCCAGAATTTGATTTTATTTATTTGAATTGCGTTTCTTTCGTACTTTGTAACCGACTACGATGCGTTTGAAAACTGCATATATTAAAAGAGAAAATACAGTAAAGCACAATTAACTTTCAAAATATATAAACAAGAGACTGCCCCCTTCCCAAGGACTGCCCCTTCCCAAGGGACTGCACGTCCCGGGCAGTACAATCCCTGGACAGGAAGCTAAACTTACAACTGTGGCATACATGCATGCATTACATTACAATAATGAACAACATGAACAATAAATGCAATAAATAAAACAATCAAATCAAATGCTATCAAATACAAATCAAATGCAAATCAAATACTTAAAAACAAAAACAAAAAGGACCATGGTCTTATACTATTTACAATTATTTACATTACGTACTATGGCCATAGTAATGAGCTAACCTGTCGTAATGAACGACTTTAGAGTTCGAAGGTTTTTTAGGTTTAGAGTTCGAAGACTTACGAATCCGAACCACGATGTCATTCAGCCTATTTAGGACTGTGTACGGGCCATCCCAAGGTGACTGTAATTTCGGACAAAGTCCTTTCCGTCGAGTCGGATTCCACAACCACACCTTGTCTCCTTCGTGGAATTGATGTTCAGTAGCTCTTGTGTCGTAGCGGGTCTTAATCTTCTCTGTCGCCAATTTGACTCTCTCTCGTGCAAAGTTGTGCATCACTTCAAACCGGGCCTGGAGATCTTGAATATATTCCTCAGACGATGAAGGAGAATCCGGAGGGCGACCAAACAATAGATCACAAGGCAGACAAAGGTCACGACCGAAGAGCATCTGTGATTTGAACTCACTTCTTCCTCGCTCTCCTCGACAGTATCATCGTCACACACACCCTCTCCATCTCGTTGGTACCACTCGTCGAAAGCCTCACAGACGGCCGAGAGCGTTGCGTTCATGCATGCCTGGTTAGCGACCATCTCACTTACGGTCTTCTGCAACGCGTGCCCCGTCGCATGTTCCACGGCTAACTCCTCACGCGATGTTGCCTCAACCCGCGCCTGCCCCTCTCGCACTTCCGCCGTCAATGTGGTACACACACTCTCGAGCTGCTCACCAAGCAACCCTTGCTCAGATAAAATCGCTTGCCCAGTCTTGCTCATGTGTCGCAACTCACGCAAACCCGTGTCCACATTCGTGCCCAATTCCTCAGCCAAACTGATCACACGATGGAACAACCCAAAATCAGAATCAACCATATGGGCAATTTCTGTTGCAATCATCTCTTGCCGCTGCCCAGCTGTTTCGTCAATCGCTCGGATCAACGTACGCACGCTTTCGTCACTCCCACTCTGTATCAATCGTAATGCACTTTCGCACTGCAACTCATCGAGTGTGGATGACATTAAGTTGCGCAACGCATCAGTAATAACATCCATACGTAACATGCGTCCATTCACAACAACACGTCCATGTCGGCTAACTCCACTTTCAACACACGCTGGACGCTGTCGGCCATTATTAATTAACACATCAAGAGTACAGTCGTTCGGAATATCTGACACAACAAAAACCGCGAAACGAAGTGGAATCCCAAGGTGAATTTTTAATTTTTAATTAACGAAGTGGAATCCCAAGGTGAATTTTAAATTGTTTTTATACATATATATTACCATTTCAATATTATACATATATATTACCATTTCATATATTTTATATTTATTTCATAACCGACATTTTAACTTAGGATGACTTGCATACACTGCTTTAAACAGTTTTATCATTGTGCCCATTGCTTTACAAAATTTTATTCTACATTTGGTTTCTCAAAATGTTATTCAAATGTTATTAGTCAAATATTTTATTTTTGAAATCGCAAGAATCAAATATCATAAGACTAAAAGGTTTTAAATTAAAAAAAAAATACTAATACTAAATTTTACGCAAAAAT